TTTATATAGAGGAGGTTCTTATACAATGGAGGGGGAAAAGGTGGGAGTTGGATAGGACCTAAATTAGCACTGTGTAATAAAACTGATGTTACAGATCAATGAAAACATGGCTGTCTGAGGATGCCCTTATTACACTTTACATAAGACTGAGGTCAACTTGCATATCAGACTTTTAAAAATGGAGATGAATTTAAGGAGCTATACTTCAATCCCTTAGTGCTGCTACCTTTTGCTTAAAGCCCTTGTAATAGTTTACCACTATTAAGATAAAGTCCATAATTCATAAATCTGTACTACCTACCTCTATAGCCCAATTTCAGGCTTCTCTCCCCTAAGAAGAGCCTCTCTCTTCTCTTTAATCATTCTTAAACCAAACTGGCTTTTTTTTCAGCCCTTTTAAGAGACCAGATCTTTCCTTTGGGCCTCAGAGCCTTAACACAAGGCTGTTACCTCTGCTTGAAACACTTTCCCCCTCTACTTGGCTAACACCTACTTAGCCTTTGGATTTCAGTGAAAATATTTCTTCATCTAGGTTAGGTCTGCCCACTATATAGTCCCACAGACCTCTGTATTTTATCTTAGGAACACTTATCACAACTGTGATCAAATTATTGTCCAGTCGTTTCTTTCCAGTTAGTCTCTAGCCCCCATCCTCAACCCTGGGTCTCATTCGCTGCTTTATCCCCAGCACGCCCAGCACGTAAAAGGCTCTCCATAAATACTTGTTTTAATGGAAATAAATAAATATAGCAGACGCGTCCACTTGCCATTGTAGAAAAAGATTTAAAAGGTGCAGAGAAACTGCTGAAAGACATTTTCTGATACAAACTAGGAAAAGAAGGTCTCTATCTTTGCCCAATTTTTTTAACGGCTTTATTGACGTATAATTGCTTAGATTATTTAAATAAGCATTACTCCACTAAATTATACCTCTGTAGCTATCTCGGATAGACCATCAAAATGCAAGTCCCAACCAGGCTTGAAACAACCAGGTCAGACCAGCTCCTTGCGGGGTACCGGAAGTAAAAACCGGAGAGGAGCTGACCAGCTTCCGGACTGGGAGCCCCCGCCTCCCCTACTTCCGGTCCCGCCCCCCGATGCGAGCGGAGGGCGCGGTCAGGTCGGGACTTCCTGTCTTCATTTGTAAAGTGGGACGGCTTTTCTAGGATGCGGGAAGGTTTGAATTGCAGCTGTTTGCCTTTGCTTCCTCTCGGGGGTCACAGCTGTTGCTGCTGCTGCCGCTGCTCCTCCGCTCCTCTGACTCGACGAAAGACCGCCAAATACTCTCCCTGTGGCCTTATTCCTCTCGGTTATGATTGTTTTCTTTCATCGAGAAACATAACTTGCTGGTATTTTGTTAAACTCAAGACAAATTCCTCGAGAAGCAGTCGTGGGCAGGCGCAGACGTTTCTACCCCGACCATTTTGGCAAATTAAGCACAAGGGCCGTTGATTCTCCTCATTTCCACGACTTTTCAGCTCAGAACTGCTTGCTGTGTGAGTTTAAGATGTTGGTTGTTATTTTGATGAGGCTTTTTCTGTAACTAGATAGCGCATTTTGAAAAATGAGGTTCCCGTTTATGTCAGGAACAAACTTGTGGCTTTTTGATCGTTAAATGTACTCGGACGTAATGTGCTGGGTAGTGAAAACACAAACAGGAATAAGACAGTAGAGATGAGGCTGGAAATTTAGGTTGGAGCTGGATTATTTTTTTTATGATGCCAGGAACTTTAGACATTTCTACTGTTTCTTATGTATGCTTGATTATTTAAATAATCTAAACAACAATTATACCCCAATGAGCAGTTAAAAAAAAAAAAAACTTGTCTAAAGATAAAGACCTTTTTCCAATTGTTATCAGAAAATGTTTTCCAACTGTGTATCTGCACTTGTTTTTTTCAGAAATAGCAAGTTGATATCATGCATATATATGATATGTATAGCTGCAATATAAATATATTTATTGCTATGAATATTTATTGCCGTTTAACAGGTATGTAGACAAGTGATGTAAAGCAGTTGGTATGGTCGGGTTGTGGAAAGTTACTTGTGAGGGCAGTACTGGAAATGGATTGGAGAGGGGAAAAATTGGAAAAAGGTCCCAGACAGTTTACAGGAATGGAGGGGAAAGTTGAGGCCTGAAATAGGAAAAGGAGGAGCCAGATTTATGGGAGAGACTGACAAAATCAACAGGACTTGTTACTTGGATGTAAAGGGAAACACTGAGAAATCAAATATTGCTAACATTGAGATGCCATTAACTCAAATTGCAAATTCAGGAGGAGCAAGAATTTAAAAATTCACTTATATATTCTTATATATTACTTATATATTTATCATTAAAAAAAATTTATTGCACCCTTATTATTGGCCAAGTATTGTTTTAGGTGCCAGGGATAGAACTGTGAATAAGACAGGTGAGGGCCCTGCTCTGATTGAGTTTATGTCCTAGTGGGAAAAGACTAAAAGCAAGTAAATAAATAGAACAGTTCTGATAGTAATAGATATTATGAAGAAAAACAATGAAATGGTTAAAAAGTGATTGGGAGATGGTTGGGAACAACTTTAACTGGTCAAGTTAGGCCTTTGAGGAAGTTAGATATTTGTGCTGAGATATTAACGGTGCCAAAGAACCAGCCATGTGATGAGCCAGGGAAAGGACATGCCAGGCGGAAGGAACAGTGCAAAGGTTCTGACATGTGATACAGCTTTCTTAAAAAAACATTAAAAAGGCCAACGTAGCTAAGTTGTCCTGAACAAGGAGGAGAGGGTTAGGAGATGACATTGGAGAGGTAGATGGGGGCAGGTTGTATGGCTTTTATAGGCTGTGGTTAAGAATTTGAGTTTGGGGCTTCCCTGGTGGTGCAGTGGTTAAGAATCCACCTGCCAATGCAGGGGACACGGGTTTGAGCCCTGGTTTGGGAAGATCCCACATGCCACGGAGCAACTAAGCCCATGCACCGCAACTACTGAGCCTGTGCTCTAGAGCCCGTGAGCCGCAATTACTGAGCCGGTGTGCCTAGAGCCTGTGCTCCGCAACAAGAGAAGCCACCGCAATGAGAAGCCTGCGCACCACAACGAAGAGTAACCCCCGCTCACTGCAACTAGAGGAAGCCCGTGCACAGCAAAGAAGACCCAATGCAGCCAAAAATAAATAAATGAAATAAATTAATTTTTTTTTAAAGTATTCAGGTTTTATCTAAGTGCAAATGTTGGGTTGTAAGTCAAGAAGGGTTAGATCTCATTTTTATTTTAAAAGGTCCCTCTAGCTACTGTTTGTAGACTGGCCTCCAGGGAGTTGGGTGAAAGTGAATTAGGGGGTATTACTGAAGTCTGCTTTTGGTGGGAGTGATTAAGTTCCATTTTAGTCATGTGGAGTTTGATGTATCTGTGGAACAGGGACATGAAGAGACGTCCTGCTGGCAACTGGAAGCTCTGGAGAGGTCAGGTAGATCTGGAAGTTCTCTAGAGAAAGAAAATGATTAAAGTTGTGTGAATTTCCTCAGGAGAGATCATTTAATATTGGTTTAATATTTACTTATATGCTGACATATTCTGCAAAAGATTATAGGCTATATCATATATAGCTAATTATATACATTGAAAGGGGGTAAGATTTTTTTTAAAAAGCAAGGGTGGGCATAAAAGCAACATGAGTGTATCTAGTAAGAAGAGATGAAAAGGGGGCTAACTAAGGTCAGGTGCTGATGAATCCTTGATTTGAGAGAATGGTGAAGAAAAGGAATGATTAAACTAAAAAGAGCAATAGATATAGAGGGGGTGGTGGAGGAGGGACCATGGCGCACCCCCCACCCTTTTTTTTTAAAAATAAAAGGCAGAGGAAGTTTGGTGCAAGGGAAGATAGACAACATTGTCACACGTTGACCAGTTTAGTAGGGTGAAGACTGAAGTCATTGGGTATAGGAAGATACTAGTAACCGTTGTGAAACAATTTCAGTAGAGAGGTGGAGGAGAAAGCTGGATTGCAATTCATTGAAGATTGTTGGGAGAGAAAGCTGACCCTGAGTGGATACTATACCTGAGAAGTTTATTGGTAGGAAATAGAGGTAACCTGGGGAAAGTGGTATCTATGGAAAGTTTTTTTTTTCTGACAGGTGAAACTTTATCACCTGAGTAACAGAAGGAGATGATGTCCTAGAAGGGGATGGAGTTAGTTTTAGAAAGAATCATAAAATTTACTGAGCTCGTACAAGCCAACATTCACACTACTGGCGCTGTCATACATGTTGTCTCATTTAATCTTCACAACGATCCTGTTACCCCCATTTTACAAATAAGGAAACAACCAACCCAGCCAACCTGTGGTTTATAGCTATGAGCTAGTGGAGTTGGAACCCAGCCCTCCATTCCCCTTCCGTCATACCTATATGGAAAGCGTACATGAAAATACAGAGACATTTCAGAGGTAAAGAAGAGGAAATTGAATTCAATGAAATAAGGATGAATCTAAGACACTAGCTGGTTAATTAGCTTTCTGAGTCGTGACATGGATCTACTTAATGCCAGGCTAGGGGCAAGAATCCAGGTGTGCTTTTCCCTCAGGCCTAATAGTTACTTTTGGCCTGCCTTTTACATGTCCTACAAATGATTTGCTGTATTCTTTTTACAAAGATGGAATTTGCTTGTTATTTGAAATGAGATACTGAGCATACAATTTTCAGAAGTTAAACTTCAGAAGTAAAGCTACTAAAATGATAAGGGCATTTATAACTTGGTGGGCCGTCTCCCTCTCAGTTATCTTCCACACTGAAGTAGAGCCCTTGGGGTTAATGAAGGCATTCAGATCACATAAGCATGTATAGCAAGATAATCACTTTTCATTCAACAAAAGTAAATGCAATGGCAATTTTGTGTTTTGCTTATGTTCATCCACTTATTTTGATAGAACTTTTGTACATGAAGAGAACTCTTTGGTGCTACTGTATTTCTTATTTTCTCAGCCTTTGCCTTGGAAGGACATTTTAGCCATAGTCACAATAATGGCAGCTGAAGTGCAAATAGTACTTTATGAAGATGACTCAGTGCAAGTACAATATGTTGATGGCTCCAGATTGCAGCTTTCTCCCTGTGGCTCTGAATTTTTATTTGAAAAAGCACCTCCTATTTCAGCACATCCTTTACAACAACCAGAAAGAATTCGCCAAAGGACACACTTTGTTATTAGCACATACCGAGTAAGTAAAGATGACACAAAAACTACTCTTTTTAATACTAAAATATTGTTGAGGTGGCCAGAATATGGAAAGTAGTTAGTATTCCGGATCACTGTCATTCTAAATTGATTTTCAAATCATTTTTTAAAATTACTTTATATTTCCTTTTGTAGGAGCAGCTACAGCGAGCCCTAGATTTCCGTAACTCCTTTGCTACTTGCCCTTTTTTATCTGAAAGCATCATACCTTCTGAAAGGAAAAAGGTAATATTTTTTAAACTTCATTTTTAAAACAAATATTTGAGGACAAGTAATTACAAACAGGTAGTTTAATATTTAGTATTTTTCTTCATGACACTTTGAGCATAGACATGTTGCTATAGAACACGTAGGCCTATATATTTCCACAGACTAGGGTGTTTTGATATTTTGCACATTGAGACACAGAAGTTATATAGTTTCTCTCTCTGCCTTTTTTTTCCCTTTAACATCTTTATTGGAGTATAATTGCTTTACAATGTTGTGTTAGTTTCTGCTGTATAACAAAGTGAATCAGCTATACATATACATATATCCCCATATCCCCTCCCTCTTACGTCTCGCTACCACCCTCCCTATCCCACCCCTCTAGGTGATCGCAAAGTACCGAACTGATCTCCCTGTGCTAGGCGGCTGCTTCCCACTAGCTATCTATTTTACATTTGGTAGTGTATATATGTCCATGCCACTCTTTCACTTCGTCCCAGCTTACCCTTGCCCCTCCCTGCATCCTCAAGTCCATTCTCTATGTCTGCATCTTTATTCCTGTCCTGCCCTAGGTTCTTCAGAACCATTTATATGTGTTAGCATATATATGTGTTAGATTCCATATATATTCCATATATATGTGTTAGCATACGGTATTTGTTTTTCTCTTTCTGACTTCACTCTGTATGACCGACTCTAGGTCCATCCACCCCACTACAAATAACTCAATTTCGTTTCTTTTTATGACTGAGTAATATTCCATTGTATATATGTACCACATCTTCTTTATCCATTCGTCTGTCGATGGACACTTAGGTTGCTTCCATGTCCTGGCTGTTGTAAATAGTGCTGCCACGAACCTTGGGGTACATGACTCTTTTTTTCTTTTTTCTTTTTTTAATTTATTTTATTTTTGGCTGCATTGGGTCTTCGTTGCTGCGTACAGACTTTCTCTAGTTGTGGCGAGTGGGGGCTACTCTTTGTTGTGGTGCGCAGGCTTCTCATTGCAGTGGCTTCTCTTGTTGCAGAGCACGGGCTCTAGAGCACAGGCTCAGTAGTTGTGGCACACGGGCTTAGTTGCTCCGCGGCATGTGAGATCTTCCCAGACCAGGGCTTGAACCCGTGTCCCCTGCACTGGCACGTGGATTCTTAACCACTGCGCCACCAGGGAAGCCCACATGACTCTTTTTGAATTACGGTTTTCTCAGGGTATATGCCCAGTAGTGGGATTGCTGGGTCATATGGTAGTTGTATTTTTAGTTTTTTAAGGAACCTCCATACTGTTCTCCATAGTGGCTGTATCAATTTACATTCCCACCAAGAGTGCAAGAGGGTTCCCTTTTCTCCACACCCTCTCCAGCATTTATTGTTTGTAGATTTTCTGATGACTCTCTGCCTTTTTTTTTTGTAGAAGAGGATTATACTCAGAACTTTACAGGTTGGTGACTTATTTATTCTCAGAGGTGTCAAAATTAACAAATTTTGTGGCCATTTTAAGTAGCTTATGTGTAGTTATTTGTTAATGTGTAGTACAGATGTGTAATTACTTATGAGTATACACATTTTATTCTATTTTGAACTTCTAGGAGTAATAATAACCATCATTTCTTAAGGGTTTACTATGTGCCAAGAACTAGGAATAGTATTAAAAATATTTAATAACACCAGTATGGCATGGGTACCTGTTGATCAAAATGGATGTCCAAACAATCAAAACCAGGTGTATTGGCTACCTACCAAACCCCTTTTTACAGGTGAGGGAACTAAATCTCAGAGAGTTTACCTAATATGTCCATGAAAATTTTCTAAGTGGCAAAGTCAGGATCTGAACCCAGTCTATCTGACTCTGAAGATTGTGTCTCTTAATCACTTTCTGCTACAGTCATGATGCTTGCCTGCTTACTGAGTAATTTTCTGTTGTATTGTCTCATGGCAAAGGAGTTAAGAAAAATTGTAAGCTAATAACTTAGTTTACAAGGCCATTTTTTCCATTGTATCTTTTTTTTTTTTCCACGTCTGCATTGGGTCTTTGTTGCTGTGCGCGGGCTTTCTCTAGTTGCGGTGAGCGGGGGCTACTGTTCGTTGCGGTGCACAGGCTTCTCATTGCGGTGGCTTCTCTTGTTGGGGAGCACGGGCTCTAGGCTCATGGGCTTCAGTAGTTGCAGCATGTGGCCGCAGTATTTGCAGTGCATGGGCTCTAGGGCACGCGGGCTTCAGTATTTGTGGCGCACAGTAGTTGTGGTGCACGGGCTTCAGTAGTTGTGGCACACAGGCTCTACAGCGCAGGCTCAATAGTTGTGGCGCACGGGCTTAGTTGCTCCACAGCATGTGGGATCTTCCCGGACCAGGGATCAAACCTGTGTCCCCTGCATTGGCAGGTGGATTCTTAACCACTGTGCCACCAAGGAAGTCCATCCACTGTATCTTTTGAGTGGTTACGCAGTATTCGTTGAAACTACGTAACTTACTGCTGATGCTGCAGTAGGATCATTAGGTTGTCTAATTCTAGAAAAAAGAATTGTCTGAACTGACCATCCTTATAAAGCAGCTTTGCCATCAATGAATACTGCCCTTAACCTTTTTTTTATAATTTTTTTTTTTTTTTTTTTTGCATTTTCGGGGCCT